GATATTGAATTGGATGTTTTCCATACCTAACAATGTTAAATCTGGGTAGATAAAAATCTCTCTGTCTTAAACTGTAAGTGTGGCTGTTAGTCAAAAACTTGTTACAAATAGTCCGCGAGCCCAAATAATGTTTAACCTTAGCTTGTACGCTCTCCCTAAACGGTTGCACGGGTAACTGCGCAGAAAATCCAGTGCTCTGTCCTGGAAACCGTAAGCTTTTAATTTGCGCAGCATAAGCGGTGGATGTAGGCTATCGAAAGTCTTGGACATATCTGTTGATATTATTCCCACTAAGCAGACGATTGTCCCTAGCCAATTTCCAATCTTCCACTAGGCCAATCAATGTTGTTTCATAGCTATTGTGCTTTCGATAAGCCGTAAGGCCGTCACCAAGACGATTACACCTGGTTCTCCCCGGCATTCTTTTTCCTCTTTTTTATAGACTGTAAAATTTAAAACCCTGTTCGGTTTCAAGAAACAATAATATTTACCCTAACGCTTGTCCGGTCTTAATCTGTCCAAGTTCAGATCATCGATTATCACGACAGAAGTTGCTTTGGAGGCTTGCCCGGTTGCAAACCTGACTGAGCTCATTCTCAAGTAATTACTGGTAGTCACCACATAGATTTCTCGGCGAGCGATAAATTCCAATAATTTACATATTCCTAGCAGTTCGTCGTAATTTCCAATGCAATTAATTCCAGCGTCTTGTAGTTCTTGATGGGTTTACGGTCGTTTGTTAGTAAGGGAGGATGATACTAAAGCCATAATGCCTCCACCACCTTTTTTCCTGTCATTCCAATAAAGTGAGTGGCCAGAAATTGAGAATTGAGCTTTCGGACAACTGGAGTCAAACTTGGTTTCACTAACATTGCATGAGCGCCAATGGTCTTGATAGTTGCGGTAAGTTCCTCGAATTTATTTTGGATAACATTAATGTTTATGCGACCCATTCGTAAATCCTTGTTGAAGTGTTTCCTTAAGGATTCCAGCTTAGCATTTTCAGAAATACTGTGCTCGTACTCCATCGAGAACTTTTCCTCGGTGTTTTGTAATTCCCTTCTTCCTTGCAAAACCTTGCAGCATGAAACTTCACCCCCCCCCTCCAAACTCCTTGATAATTATGCCTACCTTGTACTCTATATTTGAGGGTTGTCCAATACCATTAAATGCGTAAATCAGTCCCAGGCCAAAATTCAGAAAACCTTTAGCAACTATTTGTGAGACAAATTTGACCTTTAATCCATATTCTTATCGATCTTCTGTACGTGGCCGCTTTTTGCCTCTGAACTGCTACGTGAAGTGTATCCTACTTATGAAACAGGAATTCCCCAGCGAACCGACTCAGACTGACTACCAACCTGGTAAAAGATCACCTGTTATAGTTATCTACATTTCGTAGCTGAAGTGGATCAATAGAAAGCAACTACCAAATTGACATTCATCAAAAACTTCCGAGCATTTTGAAGGGTAACCCGCGAAGACAAGGCAAAAACTGATAGCCAACATTCGTTAAAGAGGCATGTATACTTTTCTTTTATGTTTAATTCATTGCTGATGAATTGAGTTCGGTTTTATTTTCAAGAGTACTTCATTTTATAAGTGAAGTGTTATAAGTGAACTGCACAAGCCGCATGGTTCTTTTTCAGGCGAGAAAACTAAAGCCTCAAGATGATCCAGTAAAACAATGTTCGACTACTGACAGCCCAATGTGTTCAGGAGGGACACTGCTGAAACTTTTCTAAGGATTTGCTTGCGACCAGAGGTTCGCTCCAGGTAAACATGTTCTCCTGACTCGAGACGAAGAAAGAGAAGAGGCTGGGGAACATCTTAACTAACACAAGACTCTCAGATGAAAAAAAAAACCTAGCCCAGATAGCTAAAGGATATAAACACCATTTTTACCTACCCAAATATTAGATGTAGTATTTTCTGGTTCGGACAATTCTCAAATCGTTTTCACAAAGTTGTTTTATTTGTGTCATTGTGTTTACCACCTATCTCGTGGATAACTAAAACTGCTAAAAATTACTAAGACCTATCCTTTGAATTACACTAAGCTGTGTCACTAAAACCCAATGCCAATCTGATTGCAAAGAAAATATTTAGGATAAATGGGCAAGTTGTAGTCCCAATCTTGCTTAAAGCTAAAGAAATTATACTTTCGAAAATACGTGGCGGCTTAGTTTAAACAATGTGTAAAACACAACAGCTCTCAGTGCAGTTGTTATTTATCAATTTTCCATTTACTTAATACCAAAACAGGTGCAATAAAATTGTTTTGAGAAATAATACAAATTACAGCATACTATGGTAATCTTTATGGTTAAATTAAGATCAGAGTCGGCACGCACATGACTTGTTAACAATAACTAACTTGCGCGCATTTATTTTTCTTCAGAATGAAACTTTCCTGTGCCATCAATACCCAATTCCCATCTGATTCCAGACACAATACTAAGGATAACAGGGAAAGTTTAGAATCCAAAATTGAGAGAAGTTGAAGAACTCACTCTTGTGGAAATATTTGGCGGCACAAAATACCACAACCCTGAGCATAGTTAATATTTATTTATTTTATCTTTAAATAAGAGGAGTTATCGGTAACATTAAAACAGGTGTACTAAAATTGTTTTGAGAAGGAATGCAAATTACAGCATATTATGATAACCTTCATAGAACAGATAGGCGCTATCCAGTGTCCCGAAACTTGGCTTATGTACATTGTGTTGTGATGGAAATGTTTTTTTTTTTCCCTCAAGTTGATTTAAAATACAATTTCAATGTTATGCGTGCACCAAGTTTCCTTTAGATTTCAGGGGGCTGAATCAATAAGGACACTGGCGTAATCAACTCGCGATCTTCGCACTTTGTCGTGTGATATATTTTGTTTTCCTAACCCCTATTAAATTATTTATCAAAGGAGGTTTTCCTGAAGTGAATTCAAATTATCGTGTTTACTCATAAGAGTAAGCGCCTCTGCATGAGCGCATCAATAATCAGTTTAAGGTGACTCTATATAGTATTTTACAAGGCTTTGGATATTACATATGCATAAATGATTTCTCCTTTCGCAAATGTTTATCACAGAGCATTCGGTAGAAGGTCAATAATAAAAACCTACAGCCTTAGACTATTTATGGAAGACTCCTTCACAACCTTAATGTTGTTGGTATGGCAACTACTGATAGAAATGCTTGGCTTTTTTTTTTGACCTACCTGACTTCCAGATGGTGTTTCTAGATTTCTACGCGGTGAATTATCTTTCTTTAGGGGGAAACAGAGTTAACATCCAAGGAGTTTCAACTGATAAAGCTACAAGAAAATCTGTACATAATTCTCGGGGTAATTCGCAATTTTCGTTTTTGACGCGCATATATTAATGCATATTAATGCAAAATTTGATAATTTTGTTCTGAGAGCGAGAAAATGAAAAATCCTACCCATGTGCCAATTTTAAAAAAATACACCGTCTGGAACGCGCCCAATATGCGCTTTTGGATCACTCTAAAACCCTTGTTTTTCGTGACGTCATCAAAATAGGAATTCTTCAAGTCACGGGAATGCGCATGCTCATGTTTCGCTTTCTTCGCACTTGCTAGTTGAAAATTAGCCGAGAGGTAGAAGCTTACTTTTCTCCACTGCGGCGAAAGATATACCTACTTGTTGAAAACGATATGGAAATGGGTATTTTTAAGCACATTTCTAGGCGTTTTTTGGTGAACAATACTCCATGAATCAATCTATGAAAAAGAGAGGCAGCTAAGTGACCAGTTACAACAAAACTCAAGAATGCCGAGAGAGCGAATTTCATACTAAAATTTCCATCAGAAAACGAAAAGGTACTTACCTAAAATTTACATAGTACTTTGGAGGAGATCCTCCCATGATAGAGGACGAGAGCCACCTGGATGAAACTCCAAAGACACGCGAAACTGTTACGGACACAACATGACTTTGTCGATTGAAGATTAGTGAATCGCAATCGAGGAGTTTTCCACAATAACAGCATGCTGTGGAGAGAGTGTTTCAAAAATAAAAAACAAAGAATACAGAGTTCGCAGAGCTCCCTCGCTGCAGAGATATTTTGGGTCGTTCTCTGCTGAAGGCGCAGTCATCTACATTCTTTGTGGCGTATGTTCTGCATGTGGAGGAGAAATTGGAGAAACAGGATCAGAGAAAGGCAAAGAAATATACGAAGATGGAGTGGAAGACGCTGAAGGAAATAAAACCGTGTAGTAGATGGTGAGGAAACAAGAAAGGGGTCCGGACTAGCTGTACTTCTATTTGATGATAAACTCCGTTGG